CTTACTACGATTTGGCGTTATAGTAGAATTTATCAAATAATTTGAAAATTCTAGACAAATTTGCCTGGAAAACAGTTTAAGGGATAGCATAAATAAATTATAGAAAAAGCCTACATCAATAAAACTATGAATATAATTCTTACATATATGTTATGTGGAATAAAATAAAATAAAATTAATGAAATTCCGGATAAAAATAAAACCCCAAAAAATACAATTATAGAATTTTTTTTTCTTTTCTTGGTTTCAAAATCATTTCTGCATAAATAGTATACGTGCAAAAAGGAATAATCAAATTCAAAAATCCTGATAAAATATAAATGATCATTCCTACAAAAAATAATCCAGTATAACTCCAAGAAATTCCAACTACAACCCATCCAAAAATATAACACTCAAATACATAAAAAAATGGATATATGCATGCTTTCTCTTTGTAAAAAAATAAAATCATGAAAAAAACAACCAAATTTCATAAAAATATATTGCATAAAACCACATACCAAGTTTAAGAACATCTATTACCAGATATCCTCAAAAACGAATGGGACTTTTTCTAATCTCAACATTATAATAACATTTAATATTTGTTTTTCCAAAAATCATATTCGTTCGATCAAAATTTTCTCCATTAATATCCGTGCCAAAATCCACAACAGCAATCGCATTTACAACTGATTTATTAGTTATTGTATATGTAACATTCAATTACTGTTTTACAGCTTGAGATGCATACAAAGAACAGAATGCACTCATAATACTTGTTCTATGTTCACAAGAATAATAACCGCCATTACACAAATTATTTGGGTCCCAAAGATTTGGTGGGCATCTATCAGTTATATTGTTATAGCACGTATCAAGGGTTTTATTCCAGGTCACTCCATATGGAGCAACCTGGATTATAAGAAATAGCTTTGCTCCGGGTTATTATATTATTCTTAAAATCTCAACCTACTCCAACCAGCATAGCGAGCTTTCATTGTGATTGGCCAATTTTTGTAGATCATCTTGTGATATACAAAAATTTTATTGGTTAAATTAATTGAAATTCTAAATCGTCATGAATAAAACTCATATATACATATAAATAACTATATTTGTAACGAAATTAATACCAACAGAAGTCTTTAACATGAAATCTCAATAGCCTTAAATCTAAATCTATAATCTTATCACAGATAAAATTCTGACAAGCCAAAATTTTATTAAAGAAATAACCCTAATATATTACAAATCAAAAAAAGAAAAAAAAAGTGAACCAAGAACAAAAAAATATATATAGAAAATAAATATTTAAACCTATTATAGAACATTAAAGGCTAATATAAAAAAAATAACTCAGAAGTATTCGCTCCAATATCAAACTAATTAATCTTATTTAATGATCATTATACAGCTACAGTACCTCCATTACCTCTGCTTTAACTATTATCATGATGTCTATGAACTTTATCTTGTTATAACTCTCAACTTCATATTATTGGCCTATATTATAGTCAGGTTTTTATATTAGTTTGGATTACGAAAAATAAGTTTTCAAAAATAAAAGACAGCTTAAATTGCCAAGTTTCATTAACTTATTGTATCTATAGGCAAAACTTAAACGTCAAACGTATCTCTCATCTAACTTCCGAATTACTTCGAGGATTACCAAATTACTTTGCCAATATATAAAATGAAACCTCTACTTTTAAATTCTTTTGGTCTTAACTCTTACTAACTCATCATTATGCTTACTAATCTATTTTTGTGCTTGCAAAACATTACGCAATATGTCTTTCATATTGTGTAACATTCCAGTCGATTATCCAATCAGAATGAAAGCTCACTATGCTACTCCAACCTCAAACTGAAGTATAACCCGGGTTGCTCCGGAGTATGCCGCTCATAACAACCCTAACCATGAGATGCTAATTGTCACACATCAAATCTTAATAAAAACTAGATTGGATTTTTAGGTGTGTAGAATTCTGCGTAGAGTTGTATTATGCAAAATTACATTTTTATGTTACATGAAATTACCTTGAAACTTATATAACTTTACATTAAATAGTGCATTGTCAGATGATAATTGTACCGGCATTATAAAAGTTTTGGCAGCACTAATAAATATCAGCATTATGTTTGGAAATGTAATTTATATTTATTCTTAATTACAGCTTTATAAAAATTTTTGCCAAGATTATTTACATGATAAAAATTACGTGAAATTGAATTTCAGAAACTTACACAAACTTACGTAAAATTTCGTAAAATTACGGGTAATTTTCTAACATATGCGGTGAATAATTCTGTTCCTCTAAAAATATTTTTTGCATTGTCTTCATAAGATAAACGTGACTTTAAATATTTTTAAATCAAATACAATACAAAAAAAATATTTTTAGAGCAAGCAGGATTATGCACCACAGAATTCTGGACACTCTAACAATGTTCTTCAAATAATTAATTCTCTCCTTATTCGAATTAAACCATTTCAAGATTATCTGTTATTAAATTTTTTTTTTATTTGTTCAATAATAAGATAACAGTAAGGTATGTAACTTGCATACTCTTATCTAATTCTGAGATTATTTTATCTTTTTTTTTTTTTTCTGATATATTAGATATAAATAGCAGAGCTTGTTTAAATTAGACATATAAACCAAATTTGAAGGGTAGTTTTTGATTATTTTAAAACCTCAAAGACCAATCTAGTTTTATAGTTAACTATGTTTCAAATTTAATGAGTTCTGAAGTTTTCATATTCAAGATTGTAAATAATCCTTTTTTTTGTTGATCTTGCCTTCTTTTAAGTGCTTTCTCAGCAGCTTCAATAGATTTTGTTTGAATTAAATAAATTCTGGTTCTGATCATGGATTATAGTATTATCAATTTGATAATTGACAGACAGATTATAGGTGTGAACTATAAACTATTATTTAATATAAATAATCTGTAGTTTATTGTAAAATCAAAGTAAACAATAGTTTATTTATATGTATTGTAATTTGAGGTGCTCTTGCCCTTTTCCTTTGGCAGCACTCATATGATTAATGTGCAGAGTTACATTTTTGATGCATTACTTTTATTAAAATCAAAAGAGTAACTCTGAACTTTTGTTGTGCATGACAAAAGTTCGAATTTACTCTTTTCGATTTTAATAAATATTTAACTTGGAACTTTTAATAGCTTGTGTACTGTATACTACTAAAATCGATAGTATATATAAATTATTGTTTCATTAATTATATGAGGTTATGTCACATCTTTAATATAAGGGTTGTGATAACTAAAAATAATATAGAATTATTTTAATTATTTTTCAACTTGTAATAAATAAAGAAAAAGCTCGTTATTGGAATAATTAGTAATAATATCAATTTACGTGCTATTTATCTATTTCTAAAATGTGACAAATTCTTTTTTACGTACAATATCTTTTGAAAACATATGCATTGTAAAGTTTTATAAGAAATTCTTTTTGATATATTTTTATTGGTTATATAATATATTCTTTTGAATCAATAATAGAACTTGAAAATAACAAATTTTAATTTATTTAATTAATAAAATCCACTATTGGATTTTCAATTATAAAATATTTAAAATCAAAATCTAATAAATTACATTATTTATTACTTTCTTTTCTGTAGTGTTCAAATGATAGATATCAATTTTTCGCTAAAGCTTGTACTCACGTAATCCCAAACCACTTAAAAATAGTCAAATTAAACTTAGCAGATGAAATTACTGAAACGGGAAACAAATCTGCGAAGTGAATAGACTATATAATCATAGGTGGAATAATATCTGCAATTGTAATATCAGTAATATTTTTAATAATAATAATATTACTGAACAAAAAGCGCAAAAAACCAGTTGGAGGGGCCATCAACGTAGACCAAACTAATGATAGATGAAAATAAAAAACTAAATAATGCAAATAAACTTTTTGGATAAAGAAAATTTTATTGTGAATAGTATTGGATTCATCAATGACTTTTGAGATTTAAGTTACACATACATCAGCCTATATAATAAAGTAATACGTATCAAAAAATTTATTACATAACTCCTGTTCGTTTTGCCGTTTTTGCAACAATATCACTGAGTTTTTTAATTCTTTCCATCATTTTGTGATTTGAACTTTATCATTTTTGTTTGCTTGGGCAATAAAATTAGCTCATCTGTTTCTTCAGCTTGGGTGAGGATTCATCATTATTTTGAATTTTTTAAGCTTTTGTTCAAATGTTGATTAATTCTGTATTTGAGTACTGCAAAGCGTAACTCTGGAATTTCGACCTAAATTACATGGTGGTATTAAACCACATTTTTCAGGGTTATCTTCATATTCTGACCATAAGAATCATCATCACTTACATCAAGATCTTCATCCTGTTAAATTTAAAATACCAATAATTTATGCTGATTTTTTTTGAAATTTTGAATTGATAATTAACTATATCGATATAGTTGAAAATTCTTACATGATTATCCAAGCTTTCCGGAGATAACATTGACTGATTTGATTTCTATAAAATATATTTTTGCTTTTTATTATATGAGTCACTCAATGTAAACCAAAATTATATATATATAGTTTTCAATATCCAAATGTTCCTTGCTTCTAACTAACATATTATATAACAATAGGTCCTATTTAATGTTTATTGAAAAAAGCCAATCCAAACCACTTTTATGGAGTGTTACTCGATATGAAAGGCAAAAATAAAATAATCATGTTTGGCTGACTTCTATATTTTTGAAGTAATTCGATATAAGTCATTTAGAAAACTATCGTTTGGCATCTTCTAAGCAATTTTAAGATTTTTAATTCAAGTTAAAGTACCAGCACTTATTTATATACAGTATAATTCTTATAATACATTAGTTTAATAATATATATATATTTATATTTGAAAAATCAAGATATAATACTCAGAAGATTGAAATTAAGATGGATACAGATTTAGAAATTTGGGTTCTTTGATGGTACCAGATTATCTTTTCATTTTTCAAAATCCTTCACCCTTAAGTGAATCTAAATAATTAAATACATTTGCAACTACAGTTTTGATTTCACTTTCAAATCTAACATTCTCAAAATCATTACAAAAATCATTATTTACCAGAGTTACAAAAATTAGAAATCTATCAATAATATATAAAAAAACCAAAAATATTTCAAAAATAAGAACAAAGAAAAATCTAAATTCTAAAAAATAAATTTCAGGGGTTTCAATATTTATAAATAAATGATATAAAAAAACATACATAGCCATAATTATATTACTAAACCCAAGTCCACTACCAGATAAAATACCACAAAATCCTATCAATACCAATACTCCAAAAACAATTACGGCAATTTTTAAACCACTATCCAAACCTTCTTTTGAAAGTAAAATTGCCAATTTAATCCAAAATGCCAAAACATATCTAGAAGATCCAAGTGAACAAATAATAATAACAGGAAATAATAAAATTATTATCGCAATGATTTTAGGAGTAGGAGTATCTATAAAAAAATAGATTAAAAGAAATAAAATTTGATATGGAATAAGAAATCCCATAAAAAATATCATTCCGGGTGTAAATAATGATTCAAAATATTTAATATATTCATTTGTTTGTCCTTGAAAAAATTCATTAATTAAGATTTTTGGTGATTCAAAAATACAAAGTGCAGTATAATAAATTGAAACAATAATTCCAATATTTATATATAATCTGGTTGCATAATGAATATATTTATTGTCTTTAAAAAAACAGAGTTTGGCATCTTGAAAAAAATAACTAATAAAATAAATAAGTATAACACAATTAATAATTATAAAAATCTTAAGTTTATTATAAACTTCATAGCAAAAATGAGAATTTTCAAGGCTAAAGAATTCTTTGATAGAAATTCCATAAGTTGTGTTGTAAGAATTGTTCAACATTTTTGTTATTACTGTATCAAATTTTATCAATAGTTTGAATTTATCGGGAAATTTTTATTTTAGTCTTTAAATAAAATTATAATCTAATTAATTTTAAAACCCTTTGTTTTACAACTAGAGATGTGATCCTGTTATCTTTTAGGCATCTGAATTAATAGATATCAATTTAAATATGAAAAGGATAACAATGTACAAGGCATAATACAAAAATAAAAACCGGATTTTCAAGCAAATAAATGAAAGAAAATCGTGATTTAGCAAAGGCAGCATCCATAATTTACGTTAAACCAGTATTGTTATAGAAATCTTAAAGATAATACAAAAATAATACTATATGGTATTATCATCAAGATTTCTATTTCTACACAATACAGTACTGGTTTAATATAAATTATGAATGCCGCCAAATCAACAACCCTAATAAAAAGATAAATTTACATTCAAATTTATACTTAAACTCGTATCTAGAGATGTGATCTTTATCTGTTTTCTATTTAAAAATTATGGAATCCAGATTTTTTTATAATAATTTTATTATAATCATATCTAAAATTATTAAAATAACCTTTTTAAATAAATCACATGATAATGTGCAAACACATTAATGCCGCAACAAAATTCTATAACAGATTCTTGATTTTTATTGGCTAAGAGCGAAATGTTTCTAAGAAAGAACTTTATTTTTTGGATTTTATAATAATTGAGGAACATTACAGTAATGTCATTTTTTCTATATAGAATTAAGAAGGGTCTGAAAAATTCTGAATAGAAAATGAACGAATATAAAAGATGAATAATTTTCAGGTGTAATGCAAATTTGTTAATCCAAAATTTTGTCTATAACCCTCTCTTTTTTTTAAGAAAGAATGTTGTAACGTAAACTACCAAATAGAAGAATTATGAGTATTTTATCTTAGCCCCATTACTAATAATCTAATTATGCCAAAATTCTTAAAATCAATATGCTGAATTGAATATAGTTTAATTGAAGATTTGTTACTGTAATATTGTTGGCTAAAAAAAACGCATTTAAATAGTACAAAAAAACTATATCGATTTAGCAATTAGATAAACATGATAAAATTCTGCAATTAAATTTGCATAGCATAAGAATCAATTAAATTGAATATTTATCTATTGAGTAGTTCTGTAAATTAGAATGTGGAATATTAATTTTTTTGTATTATAATTCATAAAAGTCTATAATATTTTATTATGATTACAAAATACTTTTTTATATGTTTCATATTGCTAAATAATAAGCTGACTGACTCTTGCCTACATTATTTTTTATTCAAATAATAAATTCTGACACTAAATGCACCTGATACTTTAAAACATTGTATACTCCATATACTGTAAATAAAGTTTTCTTATATAATTATTTAAAAATAAAACACTTGTATTGATTATCACACGATTTTAGAACTAAAATAAAATATTTAGTAGAAAAAAACTTTTAGATATAAGATTGTAGTTCAAAATTTTTGAAAGTACTTATATTCGGTTATATGTTTTTTTATATTGCTAAAAAGTTGACTTAGCAACCGAGTCATGATTTATAGATACGAAAATTATGCTCTTTGCAAAAATATTACATTAACTAATTTAGTCCTTTCCAATAATAATTTTGAACCCGATGTTGGAATATTGCTAGCAGATGCTCTTTGCAAAAACAACTTTTTAAATTCTTTAGGTCTTTCAAATAATGACCTTGGTTTTTACGGAGGGAAAGCAATAGCAAATGCTCTTTTCCAAAACAACAGTTTAATTTATTTGAATCTTTCATGTAATCAGCTTGGCTCTGATATCGAAAAAGCGTTAGCAAATGCTCTTTGTAAAAACAATACATTGGCTACTTTAAATATTTATCTTAACCAACTTGAGTTTGAGGGTGGACTAGCAATAGCAGATGCTCTTTGCAAAAATTATATTTTAACTTCTTTAGATCTTTCATAAAATTCCAATATTGTTTTCAATTATTTCTCGTTTCGATTTCGAGACACTCTAGAAACAACTGGGTTAAATCAATATTTTTGAATTTTTAATACAGTGCAAAATTAAAATATAATTTAGGCCGGCCAATATAAAATTGGAAACCTAAGTTATTACAAGGAGGTATGAAATCTTTTGTTATCATTATTGCCCTACCATATCGGTTAAAATCTCCGGCTGTATTGCACGAAAATAATTATTTTAAGAATATTAGGGTTTTTTTTATTAGCATAGTTAAACAAAATCACAATGTAACGAAAAAATTTACGGTCATTACACAGAAAAATATTTAAAGGACGATTGTCTTTAGCCCCTGATCGCCAGACTTTTGCGAAGTTCTCTTCCAGAAGTAAGTTAAAAAAAAATTAAACCAAAGAATATTTACAATTGCCAACTAAATTGAATATCTCATTTTATCTTTGATAAGGTCTTGAACAATTTTCCATATCATTTTGTCTGAATACAATTATCACAGCATCAATATGCTTTTACTTAAGTTAAAAAACATGAAATTTTGTCATTTCATGTTCTTATTTATTTATGGTTTAGTTTCAATTCTCTTAAATATTATTTCTAATTCTATAGTTGATGCTAATTCATTGCCAGCACAGTTTAAAGATATTCAACCTTTAATTTGTCGCCAATTAAATGAAAAACCATCTAATGCACCTTCATTAGGTTCAAATCAATAATTGGTGGAACGGTCTATCTTCAGATAATCAGCAACAGATTTTAAACCAATTTCCCGAATATATTTGCTCTGCTGACTGAATTCCCATGGTGGCGCAAGACACAGCCAACCGTGCGATCTTGGATTCAACCGAAAAGAACCTAAGGACTAATTATAATGAATTTAAAAACAACTGAAACTTAAAGTCTTATGTTGCAGTTCTAAAGAAACAGCTTATTGGAATCTATGATCTACAGACCCACCTTGGTGGTAAATGGGATGTTAAACAAATAATCAAATTGAACTAAAAGTTGTCACTAGCAATATCGATCCAAAAGATCCCACACAGCACTTATATGGAGGGCCTGCTTCAGATCAACCGTATCTACTAGGGTTCAGCACAGAAGGAAAAGAACATGTTATCCTTTTAATTAGTCTCCCTGAAATCACTGATAACATTGTAACCACTGTTCCAGGAGTTGGAAGTGGGCTTAATGATGCTCTATATCAAAGTCTAAGCATCAATGACGCCACCTCAGAAATTTTGAAAGGGAGTGATGGAGATATCAACAAAAACACGCAGATTATTTGGGTTGGTTATGACATATCTGAAAGTCCTGTTGATGTAGGCATAAATTTTTTCACAGATATCTTAGATTTTGGGTTAACAAAATTGTCTATAGCATTAGCAGTTGCAGCAGGGTCTGCATTAAACTTGTTCCAATGGGGATTGATCACTATACATAAAGGAACAGCACCACATATAACTGTTGTCGGTCACAGTTATGGTTCTGATGTTGTTGTTGAGACTACTATGAATGGTCTAAAGTTAGTAGCAGATGATGTTATCCTCATTGCCAGTCTCAGAGTCCCTGTTGACCATGCGTCCCAAATTGCAAATAATATGGTTTCATCTAATCCTGGAAGCCATAATCCAAAAACTCAAGTCTGGGCTAGTAAAACAGGCGAAGATCCGATTTGCCGTATTTCAAATTCACTAGAAACTGATACAATTAGCAAGAGCTTTGGTGCATCTGTCTTTTTTAGCGAACCACGGGGTGACCATGGTGGTTATTGGTATGGTATTGGATTGACAAATATGGCATTTATTATATTGGAAAACTATCATTCTGTTTTAACAGGTATTTAGATTTGTTTTTTTATATTTGTATTTTCAAATTTTGTTTTGAGTCGAGCATTAAGAATGATACTATAATATATAGTTCATAAAATTGGTTTTTTTTTTACTATATTTATTGTATTTTATTTTATCTTAGCAATTTATATTAACTCAAAATATAAGGCTTATGATATATTTACCTAATTGTTATACTAGTCTTCAGTTTATAAGAAAATAAAGCAAATAATTAATAATTGAGAACTTTTCCTTGAAAATAGGGTTCCGAGGTTCTCCAAGCCAAAAATGAGATTTTTGTTTAATATTAATTTATAGAATGCAAGGATCATTTTGTATAAATTTTATACTCTGTTAACATAATATTAAAATAAGTTATTGAAGTGCGGATTATAATTATATAGAATTAAAATAAAAAATTTTTTATTAAGTTTGGTTTAATAGTTGGAATATTTTAATTTGAAATTTGAAAACATTTTATATAGAGAAAATTTGCCTGATTTGCAATTGATCTAGATGTTAATTGCGGCTTAATTTACCAAAAGATGGGCAAATATAAAGAATCAATTGATGATGTATTAAACAAGATATTGGAAATCAACCCTATTAATACAGAAGCTTTATGAACTCATGGGATAGTTTAAATTAGGAAAATATAACAAGTCGCTTGTTAATTTAAACGAATCCTTAAAAATTGAAACACATAATGAGTCTGCATTATACTACAAGAAACTTATGTAAAACAATTTATAATTTGGCTTGATTTCAGATTTACAAAAATTTTGAATATGTGCATTTATACTGAAATATGTAATTTTGGCCTACATTATAACGATGATAATTAGGCATATAGTAGCGAGAAATCAATTAAAAAATTCATGAACTTAAATAATTAATAAATATATTTAAGTCATCCAAACATTATAGACCTTTTTAAAACTACAATTTTAAATGGTGATTGTAGGAAGAGAACTTTTTGGATAAACCATTCAATGAGTTAACATGAGAAGATTATCATAACAGGGTAACCCTTGTAACAAATAAGATCAAAGTTCGACTCTAGTAGTGAATATATAGTGATAGCAGTATTGCTTATACGATTAATTCATTCCTAGATAGTAGCGTCAAAACCTTTTAAAATAATCGTTTTAATGTTTAATATCTTTAACAGCTTATAAAAACTTAACACCATATTGTACCAATATAACTTTATTTTTAGAACAGTATTTTCGTTTGGAAAATGTAAAAGAAAACAATGCCATAAATAGCTATCGTTATATCGCTTTAGCCTCAAGTAATTACATATTAGGACCTGTGACTACTAGAATAATGATCAGATACGTATTGATGAATATTTATATACACATGATCATATGATCGTTATCGAGCCCTTCAAGTTGTATTTGTGAATCATGGTAAATAATAATCAGTTGTAAATAAGCAATAATTAATAACAATATATAAGGATAGATAACGGTTAAAAAATTCATATTCTTACATAAATTATTACATTGTCTATTCCTAGACATAATCTAAATCAAACATAATACTATCATATTTGATATAATAGCAATAATTTCCTTGTATATTTTTATTGTAAATTTTATCAAAGTTCTTATAAATAAAAATATTTAAAAAATACTTTCATGAACTTATACAATTTATAAGAATTTTAGTATTTTAGCTTTTTTGGAATTGTTGTATTATTATTAAAATTGTAGCAAGTATATTAAAACTGGTTATTTTTAACCAGACCTAAATACATTTACAGCCTCGATCTTTTTTGCATGAATCTATTTATTTTAAATTAGGATTAGCCATTATTCTTTTTAAAAAAATATAAACATATACTAAAGATTAATTATATAATAAAAATACCAGTTCTTTTCTTATCCATGCACTCAAGGTCGCATTTAAGATTACCACTGATAAGTTTTGCATAGCAAAAACAATTATCACCAGGGCATGCGCCCAAGGCCACTGCCAAAAATTACATGTTGGTTGAGAACATGAATGATCACTATCTCTGTCACAGTCACATTTTTCGCAAGTACATATTGCGGAAATACTCTTTCCAAGTTCAGAAATATTTTTATTACAATTTTTGCATGTATAACAGTCACTACATTTATCAAAACCATTTCCGCCAGGACATTCACATTTACAATCAGCACACTTAACTTCAGCATTGGGAACTTTAATGCATATAGCACACGAGCAAGTGCATTTTTGAACTTCAATTTTATTATCACATGGAAAATTTTGACATGCATGAACTTGATAGTTATATTTTACCAAATTATGATCGGAACTACCAATTAATAGGCTTGCTACAGGTACTGCAGCAATAATAAGGACATTTAACAAGAAGCTGAAATGCATTTTTCAATTTCAATTAATGTAACAGTGGCCCCTACATACTTATATGTGCCTTTTTCTTCTAAAAAAGTAATAATTAAAGTTTTGTACCGTTATCGTTATTGTTTTTGGTTATACAGCACTGTGCCTTATATCCTTTTTTTGCGCTAGATTGCAGATAGCGCAGTAGCTGATTTTCATAAAAACAATGTTACACGAGTTTTAAGCTAAAGACTAAAATAAAATATGTTCAAACCGCTAATCGGATCTGGTGTTTTTACCAACTTATCTTAAAATCGATTCTGACAATGCTGCGTAATTGTGCATGTTACAATACTTAATGCTTGCCTTCTTTAGCATCTCGGAATTTAAGCTTATTGATCTTCTATTCAGGATATTGGGAACATGTAACTTACGATGTAACTTCAGTGTAAGTTATGTTGTCAGATAAATTATTCAAACCTTATTTTGAATATCGAATACTGTAGGTGCTGGTGAAATTAGAGTGGTGCGAAACTATTGTATTGGCTGTATTGGTAAAATTAATGTACACTATCTAATTTTGTATCAAAATGTTCCAATTGCTTTGATTGAAAAATAGTTCAATGGTCTTCATTGCAACAAACAACAAAGTATATTTCGATATACTAGAAAGGAAATAATATTACTAATATCTTGTTAATCGGGAAATGTACTACTTTAATTTCTCAAAACAGCGGTCATGGAAATCTAAATATTCATACCTGCTATTCCAAGACTTTATGGTCTATCGAACTCATATCTCAATAAAGACCCATATAGCAATTTTTTTGCACTATATTGATATATCCATAACAATTAATTTTCACAAAAGGTACGTTTTTGAATATATTTATTTTATTTGCAATAGTTTAAGCTATAAAAATCATACTTGATTAAGTTAATCTTTACATTACAGATTTCTAGCATATTTTTACAAAAAATATGGGTTGTCGTCAATAGAAATCAAGCAGATTGACATTTTAGAAAAAAAATTTAATACCTTAATTTCCACAGCTCATATTTGATGAGTTTCAAAGCTATCTTAATGATTTAATAGTCAAAAAGAAGCTTAAAACTTAAGCCTTCTTTTGATTATTAAATTATTATGACAACTTTAAAATTCATTGAGATATGAGCTATATTGATCTACAACTTTTCTAGCTATTAGCGAAATAATGCAAAGAAAAAGGAGTAAATGATTTCGATATTAAGTATGTGATAGTTTTTTAATTTAAAAAAAATGTCTCACATTAACTTTGATATTGCTCAAAAGTCACTGTGAAAGAATGGAAAGAATGGCAAAGGTTTTGAAGATAGAATTAGAATTATTTTTATGAACATGTATATAGAATTACGTAGATTTGAGTGAGTATTCACTGAGTCATTGTCTAGTTGTTATGTAGCTGAAGTTGCACTGCCACTAGATGTAAATCATGAGAATGAAAGCTCATCGTGACTATAATCATGTGGTCAACATGGTTATGACCATTCTTCTCATGTTATTGAAAAGTCATCTATGGAGTTTCTCTAGAGCTGTGATGAATAGAATACATGAATCAAGAATTGAAAGCTCTTCGTGCCCTAATCAAATATGATTATGAACGTTCTTCTTGATTCATGACGATAATGAAGATAAATACTCAATTTTTTTTTTTATTTTGTTTAATCTAATTGACACGCACCAGGCGACAGAGGTATCGATTAGATAGGAGGCTGAAAAGAATATACAATAATCATTCAATGCAAGGTATAACAGGTGACATAGTAATGATCATTAATCAATTTTTTTTAATAATTAGTGATAGAAATTATTAATCAATTTTTTTTTTTATAATAAGCAATAGTTAAATCGTGATGTCTCTTGAACAAATAAATAAAATATATTTATTAGTGTCAGTCTTCTCTTAATGTGTTTTTTAATGTTATTATTACTAATTATAAGAAAATTGATTAACAATTATTACTATACACACCCCAAAGACATATAATCTAATATAATCAATTTTAAATTTTATTTTATAACAATAAGGATTGTAATAAAATTAGGCCTAAGATAGTGTGTGAATTTGAAGGTGTATTGTCAAGATTCGGTAAAATAGAAACTATTGGTATCTTAATAGCTCCATCAAAGAATAATTTTACTAAGAAATCATTAGATAGAATGGAATTGTCCGAATTTAATTTTATCCTTATGGATGAACAGTATTTGAGATTAGATTTGATTCAATTTGTTGAGAGTAAATAAATCGAATCAATTCAATGTAATAAAGAGTTGATTCTAGGACAAAATGAAAGCTCTAACAAATTTAGAATCATAAATATCATACTTTTATTATATATTTCTTTATTTTAACTTGTATATATTTTAAATTATAATTTTATTTGTATAATTTTTGATGACAATTTATATTTTGGAAGGATATTATCAATATCAAAATGAAAAATTTGAAAATTTTTATTCTCTAATCATTAAATGAAATCAATAAAAAGAATTTTGGCAGACTTAGAAATAGAAAGATTAAATAATTTAATCCAATCAATCCATCATTAACTGACAAGTAGTGCCAACAGTAACTTTGAAATTATTAAATCGAAATTTAAATTTCTCGATAAATTGGGATTAAATAAAGGGTAGATGATATTTCTGAAGGAGATACCTATTCTATATTTAATTCATTTTATTTTATTTTTTTTAAAAAAAATTACTTCATTTTAATATGTAATATAAAAGTTGTTTTTTTATAAAATTTGCAAGTCTTAAAAATAAAGTGCTAATTTTTGACTAGTCAAGTATAATTTTTAGTTATTTATCTATAAAATTTATCAAATTAAAATATCATTATTACTATCTAAAGATTAAAAACCTTTGTATTTTTTAAAAAATATTTGGAATTCTGATTTTTAACTATTGGTCTTAAATTGTTCAAGATCTGTTATGTAAAGATTTTTTCATTATTTGGCTTTAGTTACTCAATCAGCAAGATTCCTATCAATATCATGTTGATAATCATCATTAGTAGCATTAAAGTCTTATGTAAAAATTAAATTAGATTGTGTAAATATTTATCTAGATCAAACTTTAAATGAAAAAAGTGCATTATTCTTGTAAATTTCAATTTCAATTTATTTTCAATTTATAGTTCTATTTAATTGAAATGAAATTTTTATTACAATCATTGTTAACAAAGATGAGAAGATTGAATATTCTGTTATTAAAATTGTTATTTTGGTTTATTTTAGTGCTATATCAGTATAGTAATAAATTGATAATCTAAAGTTATCAATTTCATAGATTATTTCTTCTAATTCTCTAATTAATTAATGTAACTCAATTAATATAATTAAATTACAAAAACTGATATGATAGTTTTATAACTGCCAAAGATGCGATCCTTTATCTATAAGGTAGGAATTAAGTAGTTATTAGAGAAGTGACATTTATACTAAGTTTAATAATTAATTTTATTGGATCTTTTTATACTGAATTGAAAAAAATAATCGAAACAGCAAAATCTAATGATCTGACCTTGTTTGAAAAAATATATAATATTTTAGAAGCTGAATAAAAGGTAGTTATTTATTATTAATATATATATTTTGTAATTTTTAATTTATTAATAAATTTTTTAGTTTAAATAATGAAGTTGAGAAGCTTAGAAGATAGAACAAAGAAAGAAGCAGTACGAAGTAGATCTTATAAAAATTCATGATGCACATCAAAACGCGATGGAGATTAAATGAATTTAATAATTTACGAGATGAAAAAAATAATTTACAAACTGAAAATAATCGCTTGGAAAATTCGATAGCAATTTTAGAAACTGGTATAAGATTGTTACAAGAAATGACAGGAATTACAATAATGAATATTGATTAGGGATCTTTTTTTATTTTTTTTATAAAACAAATTATTAATTTTGAATTATTTCTAATAGAAATTTTCATAGAAATTTAGGTTAAATTTTTTGTGTTGATAATAAAAATAAATTTTTGTGATTAAAAAAATTTTATTTGTACAATTTTTTAATATGTAAGTAAATGTAAAAAATATTGCTAAACAATTTTGAGTCTTTATTGGATTTTTGTGTATATACCATATAAGCGCGAAATAACGCGCAGGGGCGTAATTTTGAATTTTGGCCTAAATTAAGCTTAGCTCGGGCCATTATTCAAAATAACACTTCTGCACGTTATTTCACACTTATAACGGTATATATAAAAAATATTCTCTTGGATTTTTTAAAAATGTACTAAATTTGGTACAAATTAGTAAATACAATCCATTAATATAAATTCAAACTAAATTTAGATTTAAATTCAACTTTTTGATAATTTAATGCAGCAACTAGCAATCAACAAATATGTAAGCATTAAAAAACAAATCCTAAAGGTTGTATCTAAAAATAATAATAATATTTACTATCTATTGATTCAAAATTATATATAATTATTAGAAATGTTAATACTGATAATTGGATCTTATATATGAACTTATTACATTTATACTCACAAATTTAAACTATACGATATACTATCAATTAAATCTTCTAACGAACCTTCACTCATAGCGACGTTAAAGACATCATTTGCTTGATTACTATTTATTTCATTGGAATCTTTAAACTTATCATTTTTTATGTTGTTAAAATTCTCAGTTTTACTATCATTTGCATTATTGGAATTTTCAGAGTTACTATCATTTACATTATTTGTAATGTATTCGATACTTCTTTCTGCTTTGGACTTTTCATATTCACTATCTCTTGCACTATTTAAATCTTCAGATTTGCTATCATTTATATTATTTGTAATGTATTCGATAGTAACTTCTGCAGATAGCCTTTCAAGTTCAGATAAAACTTTATCTGACATTGGACGCTGGCTTGGTTCAGAAGACTAGCATTTCTGGTAAAGAAAGTAATAATCTAAAGGTGTGCTTTTAATATATTTTTCTCTTATGCCTCTAAATATCTCAAGAATTGTGGCAGTAAAGGGAAGTTTATAAAATGGTGAAACTCCACTTGTGAGTTCCCATAATAATACTCCAAGGCTGTAAATGTCAGATTTTTCATCGAGTTTGTATTCATCTCTATGCATGAAGCATTGTGAATCTATATATGCTAGTGTACCCACTATAAAGCTAGTTGAAGATTGATCGCTCAAACGCTTTGAGAGCTCAAAATCAGCAATTAAGACCTTGCCATTATTTAGTAAAACATTTTTAGAATGCTAAAATACTATCTAATAAGTAATTAAACATCATATTTAAAACAAACAAAAACGAACTCACCAAATTTCAATGAACAATATTATTTTTGTGCAAATAGTTTAGTCCATTTGTAATTTCTTTTGCAATTTGAATGAGTTCAATCCATGAGATTTTGTAAAGACCATCTATTTGTTTTTTTTGCAAATAATCCTGCAGATTTCCATTATTAGCAAATTGTAATACCAATATGAAACCTTTTTCCTGATCTAGGTTCATATAATTATAGTTATATTAGTTTATTATCAAACTATAACTTATTTTCAAATTAACTTTGCACACCTATAGCAATACCATGGAATTTAACAATGTTGGGATGGACAACCAAATTAAGTAACTTAAGCTGCATATATTATTTAAATATATTGGATTTGAATCTTAAATTTCAAACAACAGTTTAAATAATTATTAATTAAATACCTCATGATTAAATATTTTAACCATTTTATTGTCCACAACAAGGTTTTTCTTTAAACACTTTAATGCATATTTGTTTTTTTGGAAAATGACTGAAAATACAACTGCAGATCCTCCAACTGCGATGAGTCGAAGGTCGCTAAATTGCAAATAATCAAATCTTTTTATTTTAGAACTGTTTATATATGTCTCTAACTGCTCTAAGTATTCAATCACTAATATCAGGTAGAAATTTATGTTAGAAATAGATTACAATGTAAACGAGTTATCTGGATCCAATTAGGAATTAAATATTATAATTAAAATATAGCTTACATATATTTTTGTGTGAATTACTGTTGTGTATATCATCTGAATACACATCATCAGAAGTGTCATCCTCTAATATGATTTGCTAAGTCTATCTACAGCTTGGATAATATCAGGGTGTTTCATTGGGTCATCTTGCCAACATTCTTTAACAATAATTTAATATAATTATAAAAGTTAAAAAGAAAAGAGTCAACTTCTACATTAATATACCATACCAGTATATAAGGCAGAATATTGTGGTGGTGTTCCTTCAATGAGAACTTCTCTAAGACCCGCTATAACACGAATTAATTGAGTTGTTTCATTTATTTTTTCTAGTGGAGGACGTCCACTAGAAATTTCCCACATCATTACACCCAAGCTGTATATGTCATATTTCTTATTTATTTTGTATGAAGACTGTTGAAGAAGTTTAAAGCTTTGAGGATCAATGTATGGCAAAACACCTGCAATTTCTGTCTTTGTATTGGTCGCATTGGCCAAACATCTAGAAAGCCCAAAGTTTGCAATCTTAATATTATTTTTGTGAACTAATATATTTTTTGAATGCTATAAAATAAATAAATGTAATATGTTAATGTATTATTGAATAATAATTATACAAAAAATTTTAATTACAAGATCTCTATAAACAATATTAGCAGAGTGCATATGTTTAATGGCTTCGGCAAGTTGTCGTGCTAAACGGAGTCTGTTGTACCAATTAAGATTTACATTATTTTGCAAATAATTTCTCAATGTTCCACTATTAGCCAGTTCTAATACTAGAATGTAGTTGTGACTAGGTTCAAACAAAGTAACTGACAAAAATTTTTTAAAAAATATAAAAAATATGCAAAATTCCTAAGCAAAATTGAATTTTTTTTTAATAATAGACTAACCTTCTCTTTTAGTAATTCCATAAAATTTTATAATTTTATCGTTCATATCTACCCTCATATGTAATTCAATCTTAATTTTAATGTTTTTTTTTACGATTATTAGAATTATTTATAATTATTCTAGGGTCATATAATTTGCTTTTAATATACCTTTCTCACTAATACCTTTATAGATTCATTGTCATTATCACCTTTTGTAAAAACTTTTAACACAACATCATTTATATTTGAATTGGGGTCTTCTAATTTAGCACGATATACATTTGCAAATGCTCCTCTACTGATTAATTCAGAATTTTTAAATTGTTTGATATCATAAAATGTCACATTTAAGTCTTTTATTGTTTTTTCAATCAAACTAATAGTATCATTATTAAAGCTTAGTAAATTGGACATTTTCAAATAATAAGGCTTGATATGAGTGCCGCAAATGGAAACCCCAAAAATCTTACTAAGTAACATTTCAGGAGTTTCCATTTGCGACACTTATATACTGATACTATATTTCAAAATTTTTAGTACAATCAGAAATTAACAAAGTGTAGATGTAATGGTGAAAAATGGTAAGTGATTTAATGGTGAGGAAATATGGATTACAATAGTGCAACTAGCAGCTAAAAACAACTAAAATACAACAATCTATCTCCCAATAGTGGCAGTCTACGATCGAGGGGTGGAAAGATTTGGAGTAATTGGGATTTTATACTAAGCAAATCTTTTTATTCTTATGTGAATCTGTTCTTTCGATTAATGCAGTTTTAAAAATAGTAAAATAGCTAAATAAATCTTTTGTTATAGACTTTCAAAGTTTTTACTAAATTTTGTAACTATTGTTTTTTTTTAAATTATAGAATAATAATTATTATAAAAATTTAAAAGTCTATCCCTTAAGCCATTTGGAATTCAGTACAAATTTGTGCTGAATTTTACTATAAAAATACTTCTGATCTATTTTTTTAAAAAATTAATATATTTAAATAAAATTTTTTTTTAATGATATTTGAAAATAAGGATTATATTTTTGTAAAATTTTTATTTAAATTATAAACAAAAATTTTAACTTGCTTATAAACTAAAAATATACAAATTTTAAAAAAAAAATTTAATTAAAAAATTTTTTAATAAATTCTTTAAATTCTAATATTAAATCTATAATTTTTTAATAGAAATTATAGTTTAAATAAAGGATTACAAATTTTATTATTGTAACTTTTGTAATTTATTTGTAAAAATTAAAATTAGTATTAAAAATAAAAAAATTTTTATAGACAGAAATATATAAAATTTTAAAAATTTAAAGCAAAATTTTTATAGTAAAAAATTCAAAATAATATAAAGATATTTAAAAATGAGCAGAATTTATTTAGCATAAATAAAATTTAAATAAAAAAGAATTTACTAGCAATTTTTTACTAGTAAAACTATTAATTAAATTTATTTACTATATACAAAACGATGTGGATATATGAATAGCTAAATTTCTTTCCTTTAAATTCATGTAATATGTGATCAAAGAAATAGGTGTTTTCACCAATTGTAAATAATATGCGTTTCTCTTAAATTTAAGAATAACATGACAATTTCGATGCAACATAAACTGAAATTGATGCAGAACAGATATATATTGAATCACTCAAAGTACCTGAGGCCCACAATACTGATATTAGAGTTTATAGCACTAATTTGAATTACTTCAAAGTTCGGGATAACAACCGGTGAGTATGTAATTTATAATAATTCAAATAGACTAATTTTTAATACATATTCTATCTCTAAATAGGTTACCAAGATAGATAAATGCGACAACGATTTAAACACAAGATCGATTTGGCTTTGGATAATTTTAAATCATGCACAACTAATAATTGGGTGATGAATAATATAGATATGACAAATTTAAAATCGTTTCTCGCCTTGTCACCGAAACCATTAATTTTTATTTGAAACAAATGTAATAATTTTGAATTTATGGTATTTCATTTCTTATTTAGATTATCAAATATTATTAATCTTATACGCAGATAAAAAATAAAAACAATTGACATATTTTATTCAAATTATTTTATAAAGTAGGTGAATACTAAATTTAATAGTAAATCCTATATACAATTACAGTATTATGGATACTGAAATCTGATAAATTAACTCATTTATTCTCTCTTACCCTTTTCGTTTACGACAAGATAGATCTTTCTTCAATAACTAGGTAATAATTTTTCAGAAAAATGCACATAAAATTTGTTTAAAAAGCAGACAATTATTATAATGTTTTTAATATTATATACTAGTCACATTAGGATAATTTTATTTCTATTTGCATAGAATTACGTGTGGGTTTAAACTAACAAACTTTTTGAAAAAACCTGTTTAACAAATAGAATAATGCAACCTTTTCCCATATTCATAGTATTGGTAAAATTGGCAACAAGATGATTATTCATAATTATTTATCAAATGATATGAATAGGTAATTGTCTTCAAATACTCTATCTTGAATAATTATTTGAAATAGCAAATAAAAAATCTTAAAAATCTATACAGTACTATCTCTATTAATTTTATGACCAAATCGTTGAAAACATTTAACAATCCGAAAATTTTGAAAATTCGCGCTGAAGAATACTATAAACTTGGCCGGCATAATGAAGCTTTGAATAATCTAAATCGATTGTTAGACATTAATCTGAATAATAAGGCTGTGCTGCGATTTCAAGAAGAAGTAATGATAGATATTTTGACTGAATTATTAAAAATGAACCAAATAATAGTCGCATAAAATGTGATTAATTGTTTTTTTTTTTATTTCAAATATAGATATTGTTAATTTCTATAAAGAAAAGTCATGATTTACGGACCCTGAATTTTTTTTTTTTGAAATTCAGGCCAAAATTTGAAATAATGCCTAGTCCTGTTATTTTATTGCTAGTTTTTAATTTAACTATTTTTAATTACAAGAAGAAATCAGATTTAACTAATAAAGAAACTACAAAAATCAATAAAATCATATAATTATAAAAAATCATTTTTTCTTGTACTCTAGTTTGATTTTTTTTGAACTTAATTTGCTTATTTTCAATTTTGATTTGATTATTTTTAATTTTATATATAATCTTTTCCTGTCTATTTGAGTATCTCATTCATTTCAACTACCTTTTTTCTATCCTATAAATCATTTTTCTTAAAGAATTATCTTTAAATATTTTAGACAAGAAATTGGAAATGTTTTGACACAGACTCTGAAGACTTGTCAATAATAAATAGCAATCAGATGATTCAGCTCTTGCTTTAGCACCGCTCGAATAACTATTTTTTGCTAATATAACGTAAATTCTAATTGTTTTTTGCTTATCAAATCTTAATATAATGCTTTTAAAAGCTCGGATATTATCAATGTTAACTACACTAGAAAGAACTTTGCATTGAAACAATAATAAGTAATGTTGATAATTGTTGAAAATATCTATACCACCATCACCTCTTGATAACCTATAAAAAATAATAATAAATAAGGTAAGCAATTGTCATCTTCATCGTCAAGGAAAATGAAGGAGCCAATTTAGTTATTTATCTATACACCCTATTCACCACAGACTCAAATACATCTTTTCGGATAGCAGACAAACAAAGAAGGATATTCATAAGTAATTATTACTTGGCTCTGTAACATCCCCTCTCAAAACAATTTTACTTTTAAATTAATTGTTATCATCACTAATAGTTTATTTTGTTTAGATATTTTGATAACTTTATATTTATTTAGTACAAATATTTAAAACCAATACATAATATAAAAACTAATTTTTTTTGAATAAAATTGTATTTAATTCTCTGATTATTTTTTTGCATTTTTCTGCAGACTTTATGTTTCTATTTGCTCTTTTTAAATTTCTTCTAAATTTTCTTAATAGGTAATATTTTTTACCATAATATCCATATTCCACATAATTTAAACACAAAAAATTACTTCTGCATTTTGATTTTATCCAATCATTTTTTGTTTGCATGCTTTTTTCAATTCCACAAAGACAATGTTTAAAATAATCAAATGAACCCTTCAGAGTGATTCTTTCAAGAATATGATGAACTTCTCTGCTTAAATGTTTATTTTTTACTTTAATACTGAATTTATTATAATCTTCATTACTTTTAATCCAATATCGAAGTAGCGTGAAAAAACTGATTCCAGGATCATAATCGAGGAATTCAATAAATTTTTTTTGAACCATATCTATAAAGTACTTTCTGATAAATTTATTAGTTCGTAAAATTCTTTTAATTGTTTCAACTGGAGGTTTGTCAAACATGACAAGTTTATTAAATAGATCATTAATTAAAAATTTAAAAAAAGTAAAAACAATAATAAGTTTTTTATCAGCATCCATGTCTTCGTTTTATAGTTGCTCATTAAAAGTTTTTTGCATGTAGCTTTTATATATTTTTTCACTTACTGCGTATTCTACATTAGAACAAGGACTATTTAAAAAGATTTATTTATTTGTTTTATGCATTATCATTGAGATAATGATGTCCACATTTCAGAATGGTATCTAATAAAGAAATAGAAAGTATGCATTGTTATTGGACTAGTTAATATAAATTTAAGTATTATTCATGAAAAAAGGATGTTACATAATATATAAACGCTTTTATATTTGGTCAAAATCTATTTTAGAATTTATGTTTTATTAATAACGCATTAGACAAAATCCAAATTGGAATTCTTCGAAAGTTTTTATAGTTGGACTATAAAAATACAGTAGTTTATATGGGATGCCATCAATAGAAATAAGGCAGATTGACATTTTTAAAAAATTCAATATCTTAACTTTCACAGCTCATATCTCAATAAACTTTGAGGCTATCTTGTTGATTTAATATTCAAAAGAAAGCTTAGATTATTGGCTTTCTTTTGACTAATAAATTATCAAGATAACCTCAAAATCTATTGAGATACGAGCTGTGAAAGTTTAGGTATTAATTTTTTTTAAAATGTCAATCTGCCTTATTTCTATTGACGGCAGCTTATATTTTTCTCTTAAACATTTTAAGTGACATGCATAATATTTGATTGGTAATATAAAAGTAACTTAACAAGATACTTTCTATGCATAATTTACTCCATTTCTTTGTTTAATATACTATAAACGACTAATTTAATCTTTTAACAAATACTAGAACAAAAAGCTCTCAGAGTGGTTAAGATTTAATCTGGAATTCTATACAAGAAGGTTTTTATGATTAAATACAAAAAACTATTTTACAATGATACTTCTGAACAAAGAAACGAATCTAATATAATATAGTTTTTGCAAATTAAAAGATATAGTATATAAATAAAATAATTACTCGGAAATGCTTAAGAATTTTCTGTTCAAAATTATTCTTGTTTCAAGAATAATTTACACAATTACGCAAAAGTCTATGCGCTTTTAAATTAATCAAGGATATTAAATAAAGAAATAGAGCTTAAGCACATGTATATATTTAGTGATACATAATAAAGACTTTTACGTTTCAATACACCAATTCTTTGTTTCAGTAACATTATTAATTTAATCAGAAATATTTTGCTCAAAATTGTCTTTGTCTAAGAGCATTACGCACTTAGATATTGGACAAGGTTAATTTATTTATTCATATATTATACGCATTTTTGATTTAATTTGAAATTCTATACACGAAGTTTTTCTATAACTAATTAAGCAAGAGTTTTGTCTGCCACTATTAAGATTTTTTGACAAAATGGTATTTTAAAAAAAGCAACATGATATTTTGTATATTCTAGAGATGTAATTGTGAATTACAGTACATAAATTTATTTTAAATTAACAGTTTATTAACTAATAATTCATGAAAAAATATCTTATACTTTGAACTATATGCTAGATAATACAAGATAACAAAAAATAATAATTAGTTACAAAGCTTATATAATTAAAATATAGGAATATATATATATATATTCCAGTAACATGGCTATTATAAGAAATAGAAAATCTGATGCAAAATTAAATTAGTAAATCACGTAATAGTAGTTTGGGTGAGATTCGTTCTTAATATAAAAAGTTCTACCTTATAAAGCATCCACATTTTGATGAAAAGAATGTGTTCATAATCTTGATCTATTGACTGCTTTGACAAACAATTAGCATACTTGTGCCCCACCTTTCGACAATAGTAACAATGATTTTTTTCATAAATCATATTTTAAATGTTTCTCTTTAATGAGAAAATAATTACTGCTAAAATGTGCTACAGTACTTTGAAAATCACTTATTTAAAATATTACAAAAAAAGCTTTTAATCCAATGTATAGTGCTAGTGATTATATATATATATACGGGATTATATACGAGATACAGGACAGATGTAAAAAAACTATTCAGAGAATTGACTAAAACATAGTTTTGGTAGTTTAAGCAATAAAAACATTCAATGCTTAGTATTATACAGGTATAAATGCGTTTAAGTAATGTAATCCGAATTAAGCAAAACTCTAAATTTTAATTTAATATTTAAAAATAAATTTCAAATTTGGATTTTTTTTTTTGTATAATAAATTTGTAAATTAAATTTGCACAATAATAGATAAAATTATTTCATATTATATAATTTCATTATATAATTGTGTCAAAAGAGTGCACCAAAAATAAAAGAATTCTTAGGGCATATCTGTTCTCGAGATATCGCATTTATTGTGAATTCAGAAAATGAATAGCTGCTAATACCTCAGATCAATGTTTAGAAATATTCATTCCATTCTCAAATTATTGATGAAATCCGTAAACTAATAGTTATTAATAATATAAATTATACAATGAAAAATAATAGCATGGATTTTTTTTATCAAAGTTAATATCCTCACTGTGTTGTTACATAGCACTATTAACATTATCTCTTAGAATCTTTAGACTTTGATCAATGAGGACCTATATATAAATATATAAAAATAATAGAAATAAAATTGCATAAAAAAGTAATAAGTTAAGACTTATTGACAAAGCAATCACTCTGCTAATTAAAATTTTAAGCTTATGATAATCTGTAATACAGGACGGAACTTCAATCGTAAAGATTTCTTGTATTATAACATATCGATCAATAGATATCATCCTTTTAATCACAATGTCAAACCCTTCTGTTAATGTACCAAAGATTTGAAAATTTTTGTAATAAACGTTTCTTTTTTTTCTCTTGAGCAACAATATATTTTATATTATTTCGCATTTGTCTACTTAATTTGGCAAAGTCAAGTTTAATCTTTTTCTGAATCTTATTTGTCGGGCTTCCTGCAACCTCTAAAGTGAAGATTTCATAATTCGAATAATTTTGCACGGTAAAGTCTGGTCTAGTTCCGTTTGTGGAATCTTGGGAATTTTGTAGTTTATTATATTTTGATGATATTGATGCTGAATCCCTATAAAGAAAATTTGATATAATTTCTAATGTAATTGTGGAATAATAGAATGTACATTACTTACCAACTAGTATAAAAACCATCAATATCTGCCAATATATCGATACTTGATTCTAAAATCTCTGTACAAAATTTTAATTCAGACATTTTTAATGAAAAAAAATCTCTCCTTCAGAATTTTTTAAGACTAATTCAATTTATTATTTCAATAAATCAGAGAATTTGAAAGGTCAACTTTTCCAATCATTAAATTAATTCTATAAATTTTTTAATGATAAGATCTGTATGATACATTACAATTTTTGTACAGTATCAAAAATAAAAGTAATTTGGCATTCTTTTAAAGTTTTAATTCCCAAATTTACTAATTTCTGTTTCTGTTCCACTTTTTCGAATATATTTTTAGCATTAAAAGTCTAAATATTATTATAAATGAATTAATATTATCAAATCAAACCAAGAAAAAGGAGCACATTTGTGTTATCTCTTTACTCTTAAAAATAGAAAATATATTATCTAAATATTCGTTAACTTCTTCGTCTAATTCTACATTTGCAGGTGGAAACAAATTGCTCAAAAAATGAATTTCATTATTTTTCAATAAATTTTTTAATCGATTAATATCCAAAATATAGTCCTTAATAAATCTTTTTTTGAAAAAAAATTAGAAAATTGAATAATTAACAAACACTTTTATGTATCAATAGGTACCTATCATTTTCTGTCTTTTTACGTAAACTGCTCTATAAATTGAAGATAGTAGTGCTTTGCTTTGAAGAAATGACAACAGTTACAAAAAAATAGTCATTTAAAATATGGCTCACTTTTTTACGGCATCTAACAGGGTAGTTTTTATTTTTACTAATTGCTTCCAAGGATTTTATTCAAATATCTTCATTACATTTTTCAGCTGTCAAGAAATTGAGAAATTCATTATAACTCCAATCATTTACATTAGATTTTTTAAAATAGTCATTCACTTCTGGCATTCTAAAAATAAAGAAAACATAGTAAGAATAATGCATATTAACTATGATTTCTATTAATTTATTTACATAATTTTCTTAGTAATTAATTAATGAACTACTGCACAACATTCTTTGAGCTCAACTAAACTGCTGCACAATGTTCTTTGAATTTTTAGACGAATCGAATGATAGACCACTAAACTGATATGCAGCGTTAATTTAAACTGCTGCATAACATTCCTCAGTTTAACGGACGAAGTATCAAATAATATCAAATAATAAACATCATTGAATAATCATATAGCTCAATCTCTAAATAAGTTTTTACCTAACGAACGTAATACTTCATATGTGAAAGATTCATATCGATATAGATATAGATATATATGTATTTGAAATATTCTCAGAAAATAATAAAAACAAGAATTATGCATGTTATTTTCAATTTTTATGTGAAAGAGAAATGAAGATTTCCGTATGTACTTATATACTATTGCTATATATCAGATTAAGGGATCAGCAATCACCTAACCTTAAATTTAGTTATCAATATCGATATCGATATGAGTGCGGGCAAGAGAAAATATACATTCTAAAAATAGATGATTATGAATTTTATAGTAATCTATTTTTAGAGTGTACATTTTCTCTTGCTTGCACTCATATCAATATACGTTTATTTATACAAGAAACCATATCATTACAATTTAATTTTTTTTTTTTTATTATTATTATAAGAGAAGAATTAAGAATTAAATTTGATGACTTATTTATAATGAAACCTGTGACTTTTAAATTTTTATTTTACTTTGAATTTAGATTATTTAAAGAATATTTTATACATAAGATTAATGTTTTTTAATGTAAGAATATTCTATTTTATTTCAATAATTAAAAAAAATAATTTTTTTGCCATTAGATCATATGGTTTATTGAGTCTATCGAGCTCACATCTTCAATAAAGCGAATCACAGAATTCTAAAATAGTGTTATTCTTCATAATAATAAATAAAACTTTGGCTAAAGAAACCGTAATACAGACTGAACTACCATAAGATGCCTGAGATTGAAAAGTAACAAAATCACTCCTTTATCATGATCCTTTTAAAAATATTGGAATGATTATTGTAGCAAGTAGAGATGTAATCTGTTCAAAAATTTTATTGTAAAAACCGGTTTATACTGAAGTTTTATATATAAATAATTTGAACGGATCACATAGAGCAAATCTTCAAAAGCTATGTGAAATAATATGTTTAATAAGAGTTGTAATCCGAAACTATAACTAGCCAGAATTTATAATAGTTATATAATAAACTAAGTTCACATCTCTACGTTTAATTAATATAAGTACTACATAAATTTTAAGAATAAGCACAATGCAAAAATACAACTAGAAAGCAATTTATTGCATCAAGTAAAAATCGAAGAGGACAGCAAATTCCTGTGGTGTGTCTATATTACAATTATAATCCAAACGTAAGTAAGCCGAGTTGTTAGTAAAGGTGAAGAATCATTTCTGCTATCTTAGCTCAATTAATTATAATATTTTATTATATTAATTATTTTTGTATTATAATTAAAGATTCTTATTTTGGCAGAAATTAGAATTAAGAGGTTTCATCGAGTATTCGAGTATTATGTTTTCAATTAGTTATTTATAGTTACAAAATTCAAACATTATACAATAAAAGATTATTTTTTCATTTAAACTTATTGTGTTTTGACTAGAGATGTGAACCAAACAATGAACAGATAATATAAATACCGGTAATCTATGAGTTACTATAAACTGGTGAATATTCATAGATTTAAAATAACCTGTAGATTATTTATATTATTTAAATTTACAGGTAAAACATTCATACTCAGCAAAAAAAATAAAATAAAATAACCAAATAAGATAAAATTAAGAAATTAATTTACACAATTGCTAAAAAATTAGGGTTTTCTTATAGTTAAGTTCTCCATTAGTTTGATCAAACATGAGGTCTTTTGCTAGTGCTATATTATAAAAATAATATAAACACAATAATAACTTTGCTTAGATTATTAAACCTGACATCAGATTTGTATTTACCAAAAGCTGGGCAAAGGAACATAAGAATAAAAGGCTGTATGATCAATAGTGGCAAACAAATGTTCTTATTTTTCCTCTTGACATTTCACAATTGAATTTGGGTCAAAATTCAAAATAACGTCTCTGTGCATTATTTCACGGTTATACAAGTACATACATTTCTGCATTATATTTATTAAGCTTTTAGCATCAAGTGGGTATTATGGCTATAACTTATATTCAACCTTAAGAACCTCAGAATTTAATAATATATTGTCACGGGGTGAATTGTGCGTTTTAATTGTTTGTTAATAGAAAATATAAATTTATACAAAATAAGGCAACTCGCCAGAGGCATGACATGACGTTGGTAATTTGGAATTAAATTTATTTAAGTAATAGATTAAAGAGATTTATCGAAGGAAGTACTTAATTATATTGTGAATTTAATACTGGAATCCTGTAGGATGATCTTTGACAACAGAGAAAATGTAGTGCTTTTATAACTTCTACTCTTTAATGAATTCACGAGGCTTAGGGATGACTAACATATTATATATATAAAGAATTTAAGAAAGCTAATTTCTAAAAGAGGGGTTTACAATAAGAATTACAATATTTGACAAGTATACTCAAAGGCTTTGTTTTGCTTATTTTTATAAGATTGAGAAAAGCCACTTAATTATCTTAAAAAAAATTCTTGTCTTTTTCAAATTTAAATCGAAAAAAATCCAATTTCCTGTATTGTGTAAGGCATTGAAAATTTTTTTAATATATATTTGGACATTGAATTTGCCTTTGTTTCCATGATTATAAAACTTATAAATTATTACTTTCCCATGTTATTTTGGGAAATGGTTGAACATAACCTTTATTGGTTTTGGATTTCTTGTTACTAGAGATGCGATCTGTTCAAATTATTTATATATAAAACAAGGTTAAAGGATAGAATGCCAAGAGAGTTTTTTATATAATTATATTGATTAGTAAAAAATGATTAAGTTGCGAATATAATGTCAAATTATCAATAAGTTTAAATTATTTTTTTTACATATTACATCAATTAATAGTTTGTCTATCTAAAATAAAGTATTCAAAGTATAGAATTATATAGCACAGCAATTATGCTTATATTTAGATAATTACTTTAATAAAATTATATAGATGTATTTATTTAATATGAAATTGTATGATCATAATCTACTAGCACAACAGGTGGTGCATATATGCCACCCTCTTATTGTAGTAACATATAGTATAAATTGAAATTATCTGCAAAAAATTAAAAATTGTCTAATTCTTTTGTAAGGTTGGGATTCGTATAGTAGACAAGTATTGTAAGAATATTTTCGTTACTCTTTTCAAGGTATATTAAATTTGTTTTAAAAATAGTAATATTGCTCAAAAGAATTGATATTCGTATTTTTCAGATAAATTATATTTACAACTTAATAACTTTTATTCGAATGACATTTTTAAATTTTCAAACAAATGATAACTGGTTTAAATAATTATTTTTAAATAGAATTCAAATGAAAGTGCTCAAATAAAAAAAATTCGATTTCAATTATATTTTTGAGTTGAATTGAAATTTTTAATCACTAAAATTAAATTTATTATTTGACTCATGTATGCATTTGAAAGGAAAACACAATATATTTAATTTAAATAACATTTATATTTGCATGTATATAAATATGCATTGCTTAGAATTATAATAAAAATTTGTTTAAATTATAATTTAGACTGAAATTTTAGCTCAAAGATAGTGTTCAAAGATAAGCCAGCTTATCACGGCTTGCTGCGGCTTAATGCGGCTTATCACGTGATAAATTCGAATT